CCGCCCGCCTTCCCTTAGAATTGAAAAAAGTCAATCAAATATTGACAATTAAGACAGATAACCGAAAACGCCGGACTCGATGTTAAGTCGGCTGTAAAAACGTCAGCGTGCGGAAAGGGGTCATCTGCAAAAATAAATCAACCCCTTTTACACGCCCACCCCCAAAACTGAGATGAAAAAAAAAAAAAAGCAGAAGGAAGGGCTCGGAGAAGGGGACTCTCTGCTGCAAAAGCAGATTTCTAAATATCGTTTTGGGGGAGTCTTCCCCCCCCCCCCCCTTTTTTTTTTTTTGGGGGGGGGGGGTGAGGGCAGGAAGCTTAACATTTTCAACCCTATTCTTTCACTTAAGTGACAGATTTATCCCAGTAAAATTATGTTTCGTGCTCAAACTTTGAAGGGAAAGTGGCTACGTAAATGCTGAAAAAATGCAGCGAGACACACTTGATCCCCCAACTGGACTGCGAAGAGGAGAAAGTATTCAGGAAATGTTAAAAAAGGTGAAAGTAAGAAGCGTTTTAATAGTTCTTCCAGACATGGGGGCCTCCCTAGAGATTCATATAGAACAATCCTGAACCTCTATTTTAACATTTACAGACTTGCAACTCTTTTAAAACTTTACATCTGAAAAACTGCTTGTTCTCTTTCTGGTTTAGATCAGTCTTCATTTTCCTCCTTAGCTCTTCAAATGCCTAACCTTTTTTTATTACATTTTAATAGAGTTTTTTCAAGTCACCACCAGTCCCCTCCTTCTGGCCTTATTTAAACCTGGTCGTTATTTAAATATGCACTAACTGCTTTTTAAAATCCAGGCATTATAGCACTAAAACAAGATGGGATTTTTTGCTTGGGAAATTAGATAATGCTCTTTCAAGCCAGAGCTGCTCTAGGGTGGGAATAATTCGTTTGGAATATTAACGCTGGAGGTACGGAATACCATATAAATGGAATCTGCGCTGTGCTTAAACTGCTAAGTCCAGCATGAAATTTTCAGCCAAAGCAACAGAAAGAGAAAAAAAAAAAAAGAACACACACATCCAAAAACAGAAGGGGAAGGAAGAAAAGTGTTTCTACTAATCTCCCCAAGCAAGAAAGGGAAATTGCAGCTAATACCAAAGAAAAACAGTTGTGATTCCTACGTACAACACACACCAATACAGGCACTTCCCTGATCTGGGTGCAGGATCAGGCCTCCCGCAGCGGTGCTGGGGCTCGCTGGCCCTGCTGACCCCTGCGTGGCGTTTGACCGTCCCAATGTGTCAATAGAGCACGCGATCAAAGTATTTGGGCTTCGAGTGTCCCCAGCAGAGGGATCCGGTCCCCCTGTCCCAGGGGGGCTGCCGTTTTGGGGAGTGGGTGCCTAGGTGATGGCAGAGGGGCTGCAGCATAGCGCAGGCTCTCGCACTCAAAGAGTTCCCTCTGCTCGCCCTGCTTTGTCTCTGGAGACGCCGGAGCATCTTCACCCGCAGCCAACTGCCTCGCTGACCCTCTGCTGGGGATTTGTTTTGAGAAAGGAGGGACAGGGGGTATATGTCAGGAAAATGCCACTTTGGACAGTTCTAGTTCAGGGAAGATTTCCAAAGCAGCTGCTCACCTTTTCCCCCACTCCCCCTGCTTTTCTTTTTCAGCTTTCCTTTCCATTTCTTTTCCAAAATGAAGTCTCAGAGACATCCAGCCCTGCAAAGAGCTGGGCTGAAGTGACTGCTGCTGCTGTGCACACTGCAGCCCCAAGCCCTCCAAGTCAGGTGCAAACCAAGAACGAAAAAGAAAGGAGCAGAGCCCATCCTGCAAGCTCCAATCTCCTCCCTCGGCACGGGGAACCTGCCCTCAGCTCGAATCACGCATCCGCTGATCGCTGACCCCTATGTTCTCCCTTTACAAGCCCCCACAAGCCGAACGATTTTAATGATTTCTGGCTAACAAACAGGACGGAAATTATCAATCGCCGCGCTGGGCTACGAACACCTCCCCGGCTCCCCCCCTCCGCCCGCTCCCATCGCACATTCTTACCGTGCACATCCCCATCTTCTGCCATCGCATTGATTTTCTTGTTGTCCAAGATCTGCACATGTTTCCCACTGGTCCGGCTGTACAGCTGGTAGGTACGGACGAGCCGCCGGCTGAGCTGATCCGTCACCAGGCTCTGCTCCCTCACATGCTGTGTAAAATTAGGTGGGGACTGAACAGTTACCTTTAGGAAATTAAAAAATATACGACACACCATTATAATCTCTACTCCTCAGAGGGGCAAATGGGCTGAGCCGAGATTGCTGGCCTCCAGCTGGGCTTTACTGGGAGGCACAGAGCTGGGACCGCGGTGGTACCTCCTGCACTAGCAAAGCCTCCCTGGGAGAAGGAGCATTAAGCCCCAGGACACAGTGATCAGAGTCCTTTACAGAGCCATGCCAGCTCCAGATATGCCCTAAGCAGAAAGGTGCAGGTGACTCGAGAGCGCAATGGGGCTCAATGACCCCAGAGGCCTCCCTGTGACTCAGTGGGTCCTGGCTGGCACTTGGAGGACACGAGATGGGCATT